GCTCTGTTTTGTTTTGTTTATTTTTTAAATTTCAAAATATTAAGGTGGTAAAAATGTTTTTGTTACATGGATAGGTTTTATAAGGCTTGAGTCAGGGCTGTTAATGTGCCCATCACTCCAAATAGTGTTCATTGTATCCATTAGGTAGGTTTTTGCCCCTCTCCTCCTACCCCCTTTCAAAATTCCTTAATTCTGTTTAAAGCCAAAGTAGGTATTTTAAGTATTAATATCCAAATTAGTACTAGTATAGTAGATATTTCTAATAGGCAACGTTAGTGCTGTCTGTTTCACTTTCTGTTATCTATAGGACCACCCATAACACAGTCAAGCTTGATAAACAGCCGTGACCAGCCTGGGACAAGTGCGGTGCCCAATCTTGCACCAGTGGGAGCAAGACTACCTCCTCCTTTACCCCAGAACCTCCTTTATACAGTATCAGAACGTAAGTAAATGATATCTGACTTAAAATTGATAAAATATAGGAAAGCCCAACTTTATCAGTGTTACTGTTTTTAAAAATGTAAATAATTTCTATTCTGTGGACTCTCTAACTATAAAACTTATATTTGTATCCACAATGCACTTTACTGTGTGGTTATGTTATATAACCATATGTTAATTTTGTATGATAAGAGAGAGAAAGGGAAGGCTTTCCGTTTTGGAGAAGTCTACTGTGCTGTAGAGTAGCAACATTCCGTATTCTCTAAAGGAAATGAATTTTATAATTTCTGCTTAAAAATTGTTTCTCTGATTGAATTTTTAAAACACAAGACTGATCTAAGAAGTATACAAAAAGTTGGGTAAAATATGCCTGATAATTTAACTTGCATGCTGAAGTGGAGATAGAGAGCATCATTTAAATTGTACTGTTTAGTGGTTTGGCTGTTTGTTACATTCATGTTTAGTAGTGATAATGCACTTTAATTGAATCCTAATTCACTTTCGTTTCTTAGGTGTTTTCTTGTTTAGTTTACTAAAGGTTTTTAAAAAGTTCCTTTCTGGCTGGGTGCAGTGGTTCACACCTATAATCCCAGCACTCTGGGAGGCCGAGGCAGGAGGATCCCTTGAGCTCAGGAGTTCAGAGACTAGCCTGAGCAAGAGTGAGACCCCATCTCTACCAAAAAGACAGAAAAAAAAAAAAAACCAGCTGGGCGTTGCAGCTCATACCTTTAGTCCCAGGTACCTGGGAGGCTGAGGTAGAAGGATCGCTTGAGCCCAGGTGTCAGAGGTTGCAGTGAGCTACAGTGATGCCACTGCACACTACCTAGGGCAGCAGAGCGAGACTCTGTCTCAACAAAAACAAACAAGGCAACTGAGTACCCCTCCTCACAACCCCCCACTCCTTCATATAAAAAAACTTTAAAAAAAGAAAAAAAAAAGTTCCTTTCTTCAAGACATAAAAAAACATAGTTGGTTATTAAAAATGTCAAATTATGAAGTTTTTCTGTATAGAGCCAGGTAACTTTATGGATATGTTCATTTTTTGTGTAACTGTTTAAGTTTATTTTGCCTCCTAAACATTTCTTCTCTTTCATGTCATGAGTGGCAATGCAGCAAACTAGTTGAGTCCAGGTTCAAGTCCTGGTTTCATTGCTTACTATCTTGTGACCTTGGGCAAGTTATTTAACCTCTCTGTATCTCAATTTCGTCTTTAAAATGAGAATAATAGTATTATCTATCTCATTAAGATTGTTTAGAGGAATAAATGAATTAATACATATAAAGCATCTAAAAATTGCCTGGCACTCGTAAGGATTAGTTATACTATTGTAGTTATGACTGTCTACTCAAATTTCAAGCAGTCTGAAATCAAACCTATTATCTTCTCCTTAAATTTCTACCTTCCACCAACCCTGTCTGTGTCAATGAAATAACACCTACCTAGTTGTCTAGAATTGAAACCTTCATAGGACTGACTCATTGCTTTGCTTTTTTAAATTGAGTTAATTAAAAATCCTTTCTTTTTTTTGAAGTATCCCTTTCTGTTTCTTCTGTGTCCTCTGCCCTCATCCACACTGCAGTCACCTCATATTTGGATTATTGCTACAACCTTCTTGACACGGTTATGTTTTGTGTTTCATTCCCCCAAGTCATACCATATAATGCTGCTATGCTGATTTTCCTGAGAAAACCAACCATGACAGTTCCTTATGAGAACTCCTCAGTGGCCACCATTTTCCTTCTCAACCATCAGTGAACCTCTCTATGGGGCTTCTAACTCTTTCTGTAATCTACCTCCCCCTTCTTTGTAATCTTTTTTTCACTGTTGCCAAACATCCACCTTCTCTGATCAGGCCACTTATACCCTCTTTGTGCTCGTATTAATGACTCAACCTTTTTTTCATCTTCACTCCTGCAATGTGCTCTGTCTCCTATTCTTTGAAGGCCCAAATCTTCTAAATACGTGGAAAACATTATTGCTCTGTTCTGAACTCCTACAATACCAAAAAGCATGTCTTACATAGTGACATATATGACATATACTTACATGTAGGTCTGCTTTTTGGTTTTTTTTTTGACAGAGTCTCGCTCTGTTGCCCAGGCTAGAGTGCCATGGCATCATTGTAAATCACTGCAACCTCAAATTCCTGGGCTCAAGCGATCCTCTTGCCCCAGCCTCCAGGGTAGCTGGGACTTCAGGCGTACACCATGACACCCGGCTAATTTTTCTATTTTTAGTAGAGATGGGGTCTCACTGTTGCTCATGCTAGTCTCGAACTCCAGAGCTCAATCAATCCTCCCACTTTGGCCTCCCAGAGTGCTAGGATTACAGGCATGAGCCACCATGCCCAGCCAGTCATAACTTTTAAAAATCTTTCTATTGGTTGATTTTAAAATAGTTTTTTAAAAAATGGTTTTCTTTGAGACAGATATGTTGAATCCTTCAAATTGTTCAGGTTTATTTTTCTAGATACAGGTTGAGCATCCCAAACCCCAAATGCTCCAAAATTCTAAACTTTTTGAGCACCAACACGATGCTTAAAGGAAATGCTCATTGGAACATTTCAGATTTGGGGTTTTGGATTTTTGATGTTCAGCCAGCAAGTGTAATGTATATATTCCAAAATCTAAAAAAAATCTGAAATCTGAAACACATCTGGTCCTGAGCATTTCGGATAACGGATATTCAACCTATACTATAAATGGTAATTTCAAATACATTAGAACTTGCTTCAGTTCAAATGAAGTAAAAAGCTATATGTATGTTTGCAATGTAATAGAGAACTTGAACTATCCTGAAAGTTGATAACAAGTTGGAAAAGTTTAAATTATGGATATTTTCTTGCCATTAAAATTCACAACATAGAAAATACATGTAGTTTAAAACAGCATATCAAGTGGTATTTGGTTGTGAAAATTATATCAGTAGAGACCCAGGGTATATGTGCTGCCAAAGCGAGCACCATAGGGATCCAGAGTAAACACAGAAAAATGAAATCTGGATTTTTGAAGGTAGGAGTTGGAGTCCGCTCAATGTTAGGTACTGGGAATGTACAAAATAAATAAGAAATGGTTCATCTCCTAAATGTCTAATAGTGAGAAAGAAATGTTCAGAAACACCCCACAAAAACCAATTACAGTGTATTTTGCTAATAAAGCTAAGTGAACAGAGTGCCTCAGAAACAAAAGGAACTAATTCTGTCAAAAATAAAGTATTCATTTAGGCTGCAATTATTACTTGTTTTGAAAGAGGACAATTAAATGTTAGAAGAAAAAGGATTGCCCTATTATAAAACAGGATAGAACATACGTGGTTCCTGATAATGTATTTAAAAGTTAACATCAAATGGTTATAATTTAGTAAAAACTCTCTGAAATTTTGTTGTTTTTGTTGAGTTAAAATGTCATAGATGCTATGAAAATGACTTAAATATTGAGATGTTTTTAGAGTTTTATGGAATGACAGCAATATCATACACTCATTAAAATCAATTATATCTTCTGAAGTACTTAAACATTTTACCCGGATTTGAAGTCACCAATTCAATGTATATTCTTTGGCTTTCAAAAGACCGTCATTAAGTAAAGCATGTTGTCTTTTCTGCCTTGAATTTGGTCTGTTTCTTTGAAGAAGACATAGTAGAAATATTTTATAACTGCTAAGCTCATTGTACTGGATGTGTGAAAATGTAATAGTATATAAACTCTGAATTTTAGAGACTGATTCTTAGATTGAAGGTAATTGTTTAATCTTCATATAAATTCAAATAAATTATCTTTCAGAAAATACTTTTCCTATTATTAACTATATAAAATTATTAAAACACTATATTCCTACACTTGAGTTTTGCCCATTTAATTTTGCAAATGCATAACATTTCCCTGCGCAGAATAATGAATTTGATGTCCAGAAAAATGAATCAATGTCTAATAGAATCCTTGTATATTGTCTAGAGTTTTTTTCCCCTTGTGTTTTACTTTGATTCGTATTACATTAGTTGTAATATTATCTATTTCAACATATAGCTATCCATCCAGATACATTTAATTGTCATTTGGGTACTTTTAAGCTTTTATCCCTTCTTTATGTAAATTGGGTTCCTCTAATGCACCAGGCACCATTTAGGCCCTGGAACTTCTGAAGTGTACCAGGGACCTTGTATTCTAATAGAGTAGACCCATGAGAAATATGGCCAGTATTTGGAAGATGTAACTTTTTATTTCTTTTAGATTTGAGCTTTTAGCTTAAAACTTACCTTATAGTTTTTTTTTCCTGTGAGTACTCTTAAAGACAAAATCAGGATAATTACAAAGAGTGGTTAAAAATTTGAATAAAGATTGTCTTCAACTGATTAGAGTTAATGTTAAGAATGTGAAAATGTTACTATCAGGCATTTGAGGATATGAACAACGTAAAAATGGGAACATGAACTTGGGATGTTTGCAGTTTGGAATCATCCAGTCATTCTTTACACTGACCAAAATGAAACTGAATGAATATAAATTCTGAGAGGCTCATCTTTACCATTATTGTAATCTGTTTGATTTTTAACAACTTTTTATTATGGAAAATTTAAATTACCATATACACAAAAAGAGAGCAAATAGTGTAGTGAATCTCTGTGTACTCATTTCCTGCTTCAATAATTATCAACATGTGTGCCGGGCGCAGTGGCTCACACCTGTAATCCTAGCACTCTGGGAGGCTGAGGTGGGAAGATTGCTTGAGCTCAGGAGTTTGAGACCAGTCTGAGTAAGAGTGAGGCCCTATCTCTACTAAAAATAAAAAAAACTAGCCAGGCAACTAAAAATAGAAAAAAAATTAGCCGGGTGTAGTGGTGCACCCCTGTAATCCCTGGTACTCAGGAGGCTGAGGCAGGAGGATTGCTTGAGCCCAGGAGTTTGAGGTTGTTGTGAGCGAGGTGACGTCATGGCACTCTAGCCCCAGGCAACAGAGCGAGACTCTGTCTCAAAAAAAAGAATTATCAATATGTGATTAATCTTGCTTCATCTATAACCTATGCCTGACTTGATTATTTTAGAAAATGTCCCAAATATAACATTTCATCTGTGAAAACTTAAGTATCTATCTTTAAAAGATAAGAGTTAACCATACACATACACAAAACTACAATACTGGTATCGTACCCCCTCCCGCCAAAATGATAATAATGTACTGTTGATTATCAAATATCTGGATAGTGTTCTTATTTCCCATTTGTATCAGAAAGGTCCTTCCATAGCTGGTTCATTTGAAGCTATATCTAAACAAAGTTATACGTTTAGTTGAAACATTCCTTAAGTCTTGAAATCTATGGCAATTTCCTTTTCCTATTTTTTTTTTCTCAACATTTATTTGTTGAAGGAATAGATCATTTGTCCTGAAGAATTTTCTCACATTCTGGACTTGGCAGATTCATCCCTTTGTATGTCATTTAACATATTCCTCTATTCCCTGTATTTCCTGTAAATTGAAGTTAGCTCTAGATATTTAATTAGATTCACATTTGGTGTTTTTTCTTTTTTTCGTAAGAACATTTTATAGATTGGGTTATGTACTTCCTACGTAGTACATCATAATGCTCATAATGTCTGGTTGTCTCTTTTCTGTATTATGAATATTGATCAGTGTGTACAAGTGTTTTTATCCCGATCCATCCATTTTAAAAGTTGTTAATGGTTTCAACTGCCATTTTTTGATCAGTGATTCGATCTCTTGTTTCATGTTTTTCTCTAATTCTGTAATTTTTTTCTGCATTTATTGCTGGCATTCCATAAAGTTGGCAGTATCAACCATTTGGTTAACCTGAAATGCAGTTTTTACAGAAAAGGCAAGATAGATGCTTATTTCCTTTCATTTATCAGTTTTTAGAAAGTGTTGTATCCCTAATATTGTACAAAGGGGACTACTGTATTTTTTTTTAAGTATCATTATGAACTCATGAATTTTTAATGTGTTTGATGTATTTCACTCCATTATAGTCATTTTTTCTTCTTAAGAGATAGGGTCTCGCTGTGTTGCCCAGGCTGGTCTTGAACTCCTAACCTCAAGTGGTCTTCCTGCTTTAGCCTCCCAAACTGCTGCGATTATGGGCACAAGCCACCACACCTGTCCATTACAGTCTTCTTTGATGTTCAGATTGTTTATATATGTGATCAGTGGGAGTTTCTTCATATTGGCTCTTGATGGTTTTTTCTTTAATTTTGACATTTGATAGCTTCTAGAAGGGCAAGGTATACCAAGGTATACCAAGCTCATAAATTTTTTGCCCTGTTCTAAAATTGGCCCTCTGTCTAAATAACACTTTTTCTTTTAGAAGTAGTATTTAGAGACTTCATTAGGTGTTGTTTGTAAGAAAATCGGGCTTCACTTGAATAAACAGTCATCTTTCTGGAGTGTTTGAATTGCGTGTTCTTTGTCATTGGTTTGTATCAATGTAGACATTGTGCAAACTAGCCTTTTAGTTTCCAGCTTACTTTGAGGCAGTTATTATTAATTAGATACATTTGGTACATTGAGTGATGTATCATAAATTTAGAGTAATCATATGGACTGAGATTGTCCTTCCCATTTTTCTCTTGTACATTACTTAATTCTGTTGATTGGTTACTCGTCACAAGTGATTCTGTGCAATAGATCATACTATTTTCAGATCACTGAGGATACATGAAATTGTTTCTGCAATGTAATGATTGATCCTTTTTAAATGTAGATTTTAAAAGGGTTGGTGCTAATTGCACAGTTATGTGGTCTGCTATACAGTATGATGTGTGACCTCTTCCTTTGCTCCATATATAAGAAGA